CCCCTCAGGTTTAGGTTCGATTTCAATTCCTTACAATATTTTTAAAACACTTTAATTTCACACATTTACTTATCATTTTATTTCAATTTCATACATCTGTTAGAAAATCTGTTAAGCAAATCGTTAAGTGATGACGTGGTAAAGATGAGATCCACAATTGTGTTGACGTGGCTGTCACATTTATGCCACATGGCTAAACACTTAATAAAAAATTTAAAATATTAAAATAATTAATTAATTTATAAAAAAAAACCATAAACTCCATCATCTTCCCCAGCCCACCCCTCCTACCCACCCGAGCAGCCCACCCCCAAGTCACTCCCTCCACTTGTCGGGCTCAGTGGGGATGAAGTCGAGCTGGGAGTTGATGAGGAGAGAGGGTAGAGAGGGGTGGGACCTGGGCCGGGTGAGGAGTTGGAGAGGGTTGGACATGGTGGCAGTGAAGAGCATCAGAGGTGGAGGGAAGATGGGTTTTCTGGGTTTGTATATTTTTTTTAATTTTTTTAATTTTTTATATATATAAGGGTAAATATTATTATATTTTAAATGCATAAAAAAATAGTTTTTTTGTCACATGGTACAAATGTGGCAACCACATTAGCATAAATGTGGATTTTATATTTACCACGTCATCATTTAACGGTTTACTTAACAGATTTTCTAACGGATGTATGAAATTGAAATAAAATAATAAATAAATGTATTAAATTAAAATATTTTAAAAATGTTATAATGAAGGCAAAATAATTCTACCCTTCTTTTTTTTGCATGGAGACCCACCTCTTATCTCCCTCACCTTTCTTCCCCGCTCCTGTCTTCCCCCAACCCAGATCCCACACCGCACACTCCCCCGCCTCACCTGCTCCCTCGCCACTTCCTTCTCTTCTCAGGAGTTCAACATCACATGAAACAAGGCAAGTACTCGATTTGGATCGGTTCAGTGACCTTTGAAATTTACTCTTTGTTGCCGTAATTCTCTCTCTGTGCTGTGTGAGTCGTCGATTTGTGTCAAATTAATCACCAGGAGAAGCAGATTCAATGGAAAAGGAGGGGTTTTTTTTTTTTGTTCTTTTGTGAAAAGTAAATAAATTTGGGGCTTTCTATTGTGTGGAAATTGGTAAAGGTCTGCCTTTTTTGTTGTGTGTTTGTGAAATGTTCTTGTGGCTTGAACATTATTTCGTTTCGAAAAATTGGGAATTGGAGACTTTTTGACAATAGTCTTGCTTGACAGTTGAAATTAGTTTAAGATTGTTAATGTTATGGATAGAGGAAAGCTTGATTGGCAGTATTACTTTGTTCAATTTCAGTAAAAATTAGTTCTTTTGGGACGAATACTTCTTCGGAATCATTTGTTGTGAATTTTCTTTGCCTCGATACACCTGAGAAGCGCGTGGCCACGGCCGAGCCCAAGTACTCGAAGCCGGCCGGAGGTTCTACAACGAGAATTTCAGAGACGCCAAGCAGCAACTCAGCAAAGTGAGGCGGAAGTGGCGAGGGAGCAGGTGAGGCGGGGGAGTGTGCGGATGGGGATGAGAGAGAGGGAGGTGGGATCTGGGTTGGGGGACGAGAAGTGCGGGGAAGAAAGGTGAGGGAGGTAGGGGTGGGTCCTTCATGCCAAAAAAAAAAAATAAATGATTTTAGGATTTTTAGTTTTTAATAGTTAATCAAATGATTTTAATTTCCACGTGAACTTCTTAATGGCACGTGATGTTTAATCATTGTTCACATGAGCGTCACGTCATTAGATTTAACTGTCAGACTAACGGATGCATGAGACTTTCCCAAACTTTAGGTATGACTCTGGGACAAAAAAAAACTTCATGTACTAAATGTTGAAAACCACGAAACTTGAGGATAGAAAATTGAGATTTACCCTAATTAGAACTTCCAATTTTTTTACGCCTTTAAAACTCTTATTTTGGATAGAACTTTCAATAGCTACTCAAAATGACTATTACTCCGCACTGTGAGTAATTCAAAGACTAATACTCATGAATTAGTTCATGAACCAAAAGTCCAATGTTAAAGATTAACACCAACTTATTAAGATTAGTCGATACAAAGGAACTAGATTGTTCTAGTTCAAATATGCATGTAAAGTGGCGGTGCATGCATTGAAAATGCTAGACAATTCTAGCACCAAAGTATAACTAGAATGTTAGTAAAATGTGAAGCGCATGTCGGTGGGCTGTTTGTGTAAAGAACTAGAAATCTAGAAAAATGTTTTTGTTTGTAATAAAGTCGAGAACAAGTTATTGCTAGGATAAAATGAGCCAAGAAAGAGTAACTAAGAAGAGATAAACTAAAAACTAAGAAGGAAGAAAGCAACTAAGTAAGAAAGTAAGAGTAGCAACCAAGAGAGTAGAAAGTAGGCAAGCAAACCAAGTGAGAGTGAGAAGGAAGAGTAGTTTTGTGTGGAGTGAGTGATTTAGAGTTTGTCTCTAGAAAGTGAGAGAGTGTCGTAGCTTCTAAATTGTGTCTTTAAGAATTGTTGTATTGTAATATTTTGTGAGTGTAATACAAGTAATTTGTTTACTTGTATTATCTCTGTAACACTTGTGCTAGAGTTGTGTATTCTAATTTTCCTCAACATTCAATTGAGCCGAAGAACATTGCTTGAATTTTCTCATAAATAAAAGACGAACACAGATATTAAACTTGCCCATTTTCTTCCTCATAGAAAAGTATGTACTCCTCCAAGAAACCAGAATCAAAACCATGACCGACAATAACAGGATTATCATCTTCATTGGGCTTTTTCTTACTTGATATCGATTCGCATCGTAGATGCCCCCGTTGTTTCAATTGGGGACTTCAACAAAGATTTCTTTGTCACATGGTCTCCTAGCCATGTAAATACTTCAGCTGATGGCAAGACAATGAGTTTAAAGCTTGACCAAGAATCCGGTACATGATCAATATACATAAACTCTCTTAATTAATTTTGGCTTATAGCATGTTGGAATTCTGATGATGATGTTTTTCGTTTCCCCTGGGCGCTGGTTTTGCTTCAAACCAGATGTTTTTATTTGGACAAATTGACTTGCAGATTAAACTAGTACCAGGCCATTCAGCAGGCACAGTTGTGGACTATTAATAAGCTAAAAACAACAATTTTTCCTCAAACGAACATTTTTGCTAATGACTGAATAACTAATGGATTGTATATGATCAACTTGAAATTAATCAATGCAGTTGACATCTAATCAACCTAACTGTAACGAGGTAGACTATGAGTTCCCTGGCAATGTGGAAGGCAAACCATATGTCCTCCAGACAAACATTGGGAAGGGAGGATCAATCTATGGTTTGATCCAACAAAGGACTTCCATTCCATATTATGGAACCTTCACCAAATTGTGTAAGCCATCCATCAAATCTGATCAGTACTACTTCATTTTAGTATTGCTTTTACATATTTTGTTCAGTACACAAAATAAATTTATGGGAAAAATTTGGTGTACTTTTGCTGCTTGTAGATTTATAGCGGATTGGGTTCCTATTAGAGTGTACAGAAACCATGCAGACAAAGGTGTAGCATTTCCAATGTGGCAGCCAATGAACATCAAAGCCAGCCTATGTAACGGCGACAGCTGGGCAACGAGAGGCGGCCGCGACAAAATTGATTGGTCAAAAGGCCCCTTCACAGCTTCATTAAGAAACCACAAGATTGATGCCTGTGTTTGGAAGGGAAATGCCAGGTTTTGTAGGGCAGAGAGCCTTACAAAACAGGTGGAACAAGGAGAGGTTTAGTGCCCTATCAAATGCACAGGGAAGGTTGTTCAAATGGATTAGGAAGTACCACATGATTTATGATTATTGCCAAGATAAGGAGAGGTTCCAAGGCAACCCTGGAAGCATAAATAAATAAATAAATATATATATATATATATACATATATAAATATATATATATATATATATATATATATATATATTATAGACTTGGAAGTAAAGTAACATTTTCTTTTGGAATTCCTTTGCAAGATGCTAAAATGTTTATTCACTTTTTGCTTATATTGAATTTAAACGAAAAGGCAAAGGATGTATTCGTAGGGCCTCTGACTACTCTAGTGGTAGAAAACCTTGTTTTTTCGTTGTATTTTGATTTCATGAAAGAAATTAAAGGGCTTTCCAATAATTATTCTAATTTAGTGGCACCAATTTCCACTTTGATCATGTGGATTCTTAGTTTGAATATCGCAAATGAGATTTTATACACTTCATTGATCAATGAGTGATTGTTGTGCATGAGATTTGAATTTAAGACTTACAATAAAGTGGAGATTAGATGCTACGAAATTAACAGATCATCATGAATTTTGTTATCTCTAATTAGTGATTTAAATATATCATTAATGATCTTTGCATCCCATATTCTGCATAAGAAGTGGTGGGTGATCCTGCTAGACTAACAAAATTAAATATGGCGATAGCACTACACAATTTTGTCTCATGAAGGATTTGTATCCGGCCTTACCAAGTCAGATATGTAACGAGTTGACATGATAAGAATACATTTCTTTCTTAATTGGTAGGATTCTTGATTATTCATGACATTTAACACTCCAGTACACGTTTATATAAATGTTGCATAATGCGGTATATTTAAAATTTTATATCCTATTAACAAAATAAAAAAAATTTAATGAGTAAAACTGACAATACCATAAGATTAAATTTATGAACAGATTGACTTTTTCTAGCCCATTGTAAGTCTAATCCTACCCCTCATCTTTAATGTAAAGAATATTGTTTGTTAAGAGATCGAGTTTGTGGTGGGAATATTTTCACCCGACACGAGTACGATAAAACATGAAACGTTGCTAAACAATTTTTTTTCCGAAAAATGTGATGACAGAACAGTGACCCAATCAAGAAAGGCCCATATTTTACAAAAAATAAAAAAAATAAAAGGCCCATGGTGTAAATGGTCTGAAGTCCCTAGTGATGCGGATTAATCAAGCCCATTACATGATCTAAAATATTAATGCAGCAAAATTAGATCAATGAAAATAAAAATTGCCGTTTCGTCAAATCCTGTCGCAGCCAAAAACCCTAAACCTTTGAGCACACAGACAGAGAGGAAGATGGGAAATACAAGCAAAGACCTTCTGCAATTCGAGCACAAAAAGGCTTCAACTTCACCTTTAGGTTTCTCTCTCACTCTTTTTCTATATATATCTCTCTCTCTCTCGCTCGCTCGCTTTCTGTGGAAATTCATGTCGCTTACTCTCGGTGTATTCTCTTGCAGAAAGCACGCTACTTGGTTGTAAAACTGCCTCAACGAAGAAAGCTCAAGCCGAAAGGAAACCCGGCCCTGCTCTTCCTCTTCCCAAAAGCCAAGGTTCTCGATTTTTTCCCATTTAAATTTTGGGGTTTTATTTATTTATTATTTATTTATTTTCTTCAATTGTGAAAACTTCAATTTAAAGGAATTTGAATTGTGGGTTCTTGGTAAGAGATTAAATCTGAGGTCGATTTGATATGATGGGCACATATATGAATGTTTTTATTTTCCAGCTGGTAATTTTCTATGTTGGATTCTACTTGGCCGGCTAAATAATGTTTAATTCTCAAATGGGTCTATAATTTGGTGATGGATGCTTAATTTCTTTTATACAAGGTCTCGATGCTAATCAGTTAATCGGCATAATGCCTGTGCTGTTTGTCTCTTTTTTACATTTCCTTTATTTATATTTTGTTTTCGAACTTGCTAAGTTACTAAGTTGTAATGGTTTGAGTTATAACTTATAACTTAGAAGGGTGTGACTCAAGTCTCCTGTCATTGGGTTTGTGTCATCCTTGATAAACCTGCGCTGAAATTTCATAGTTTAATTCGATGAGATGGGATTATTTTTGTGCTGTTTACCTTTTCTTAGCCCCTGGTGTTATTATTTTCTTCCTCTTTTGGTTCATTGGCAAGAATCTTGCTTGAGATAGAGGGTAGTAAGTACTTCATTGTCGGCTTGAGATTGGCTTGACATGTCTCTGTTCGTGTCGATCCGATGCAATCAATTAAATACCTTACGTTGGAATTCTGTTTCTCATACACTGTTTCCTTATTCATATTTTCCCGTTCAGTAGAGAATTGTCAATTAGTTTTTTGTTCCCTCTTTCAGTTGAGAACTTGCTTTACATAGTTCTAGCTTAATTTTCATAAATGTTTAGTGGTCGATGTGATGCTTTATACACTAGCTGATGATCGTGTATATAATGTCATGAAGGGGTTTTAAGAATGGTTTAGTATTGGTTTGGTACTGAGGTATTTTTATAAAAAGTGGGTATAAAAAAAGCTGAGCTTAAAAAGGTGTTTGGTCAACACTTAAAAACAGCTTATTTTCATAGTTTTGGGTGAAAAAAAGCTGAAAACGTGAAGCAACAAAAATAAGCTTATTCTCATAACACAACAGAAACAGTTTTTATTTCAAAGCACAACAATATCAAACCAGCCCTTAGTGTTAAGAAAAATCAAATTTGTGGCATGATCTCAGGTTAGAGGATTTCTGCAATTGGGCAAGCCTATGCCCCAGGCATTTAGTTATTTTAGGCAACAGAAATCTTCATTATTGATCAGAAAAGGTGACGATAGAAATTTGAAATAGATTAGAGAATGTTGTAGTATCAAATCTGAGGCCGAAGAGTCAGATGTTCTAAACCGTTTTGCCTTGTCCCTTTTTTTTGGCTCAAACAGAAGTTTTCAATTTATCGTGTACTTGAGATTCTCTGCTTCTGTTTTATTTGTAGTGTTGTTTTGTTAGAAGTACCTTGCAAAATTTTGTTCACATAATTTGCTTGCTTGGCTGCAGTTTTGGGAGAAGTAAGGGACTTCTTGGAAGTCATATCAGAAGCTAACGAATGACTAAAGCAGGATGCAAAGGTTGGCATATTGATCCTGTGTTTTCTCATTTACTGATATGTAGGATAATCCAGAAAACTATGATATTGACGTGCTCACTGGAAATGAATCTCAAGTCGTTAATATGGTCTCTTTCTCTCTTTCGCTCTTGCTCTCGTGCATGCACACACAAACACATACACGCTCACAGATTGTTGATGCCCTTGGATAATAATTGATTTGTGGGTGGATCTGAATTGACAGGAGTTGATGCTGGGCGTTGCTGATCTTCAAACTCCTTAGGCTGTGGCTGCTGCTGAATCTGCAATTGTTGGTTGTCACCCTGTTATACCATTGGCCGTCAACAGTAGCAGAGAGGAATCAGAGGACAGCAGTGATGATGACAGCAGCAGCGATGATAGTGACGACGAAGATAGTTCCGATGATAGTAGCAGCAATGATAATGAAGACGAAGATAGTGATGAAATCAAAGATGATACAAGTGATAAAGAGGATAAGAAAACAAAGGAAAACGTTTTGAAAACCAAATTGTAAAAGCCTAGGGTTCCACCATCCCCTTAACAATCCTACGTAGTTCTTCTAATTCCTTATGAATTACACATGCATGTTTCGAAGGTTAGGTTTTCCTAAAGTATGCCCTACTTGGAACCCCCAACATAGAACGTATATCTAACATGCAAATTGCCCAAGGCGTCCAGATTGAATGTGAACATTCAAGACTCATTAAGTTTTGTGAAAACCTTTTGAAAAACTATGTAACTCCTAAGACGTGTCGTCCATCCTAAGTAGTTACACATGTTAACCACAAGAAGCCTTAGTCAATTTTAAGGACAGTCCTCTACCAAAATTGCATCTAATTACTTATCTAAACATCCTAATGCTAGCTAAGCATTAAGATATAGAGACAGTTTAAAGCACAGTGATTAATAATTCAAAGTATGCATGTATAATATCATAAGTAATTAAATAAAAACTACATATTCATGCTAAGGCTCAAGGCATTGCCCTAGCGAACAAAACTAATTACTAACAATCATAAAACAAAATATTATTAAGAATATGAATAGAAAACACCTTGAAAATAAACTTGAATTGTTAAAAGCTCTCCAAAGCCAAAGTATTGTGTTCCCCTCCCTTAACCTAATGTCTAAAAAGCCTTATTTATACTACTACAAAATAAAATCCTTCATAGAAAAGGTCTTAGAAAAAAACTAGGAAACATAATTAAATGATAAAACAGAGAATAAAATGTTTCCTATTTGAACTAGAATTCAAACTTCTCAAAAATTAGTCTTTTGACCGATCAAATCAACTTCGTTTTGATCCCAAAAGGTCTCTTTTAAAGCTGAAGATGTCCCCTACAAATTCACAGAAGGAATCTTCCTCAAAATACGCCATATTGACCTCCAAAATACCCAAAACATCCAGAAACGTCAATTTGGGAAAGCTACACACTGGGCCTTAATTTCATCGCCACAGTCAAACGGCTGGGTAGAAAAATCTGAAATTTTGACACAATCATGTTGAAAGGCACACAACCTCCTCCAATTGGAATCACTCCATTCATCTGTTTGATCACTTTTTGCTTCAGAGGAAGTCAAATGTCCTACATTGAAAATATAATCCAAAGTATCAAAATTCTACCAAAATAACTAATAAATTATAACTAAGAATAGGATAAAATATATGGTATAATATGGACTCATCAATCGGGTTGAGTGGGATTTCCTCGATGAGGTAATGAAGAAGATGGGATTTAATCTTCGATGGCGGAAGCTTATCATGGGTTGTGTGAGCTCAGTTAATTTCGCCCTACTTCTTAATGGGTAGTCGGGTCATAAATTTGCTCATTCAAGAGGCTTACGACAAGGGGACCCTTTATCTCCTTATTTATTCTTCATGGTTAGTGATGTCCTTTCCAGGATGCTTCAATCGACGGTGGACAACAAGTGTTTGGACCGGGTGCAGATGAATCTGCATGGTTCGGTAATTTCCCATATTTTCTTTGCTGATGGCACTCTTATATTTTTGAAGGCCACTAGAATGAATTGTTGTAACTTGGTTAAACTTATTCATGACTATTGTGAGGCTTCGGGTCAAGTAGTTAACTTCCAAAAGCCGTGTGTTTTCTTTGGCGTAATACGCCAAAGGTTGTGTCGACGGACTTGGGTCACATTCTTAATATGCCTATAGTTTCTGATCCGGCCACCTATGTCACGCCCTGGATCCCGACATACATCCATGATCGACACGTGACGTCATAAAAATCTCGTATATCTAACATACCCAGCCTCCGGGATATGTACCGAGCACAACATAAGCCTCAAATTATGTAGTAATTGTTCGTATACTTTATGGCTACATTTAACCTCTTCGTTAAACTGCCTACGTGCCCTAAATGGGGATCAAGCCATTCGTAGTTCATCACTTCACTACACTCGAATTATCACACCAATCAATAACACGTACAATACACTGAAATGCAGGGCTAGAGTGACACAGTTCGGCTGAAGCCTATATCTCTAAAGCAAGGAACCAACAAGTCAAATGATAACTTAACAAAATCCATCAACATCTGGTTCTAGACCACTCAACGGAACCAAGACACCAAAGGGATTCCGGACCACTCAACGAAATTCAAACTAGGATACGATTCCGAACCATCACTTAACGGAATCGCGAAGTAGAAGGGATTCCGAACCATCACTCAACAGAATCTGAGTGGATACGATTCTGAACCATCACTCAATGGAATCGCGGAGTACAATGCATATAGAACCACTTAATGAAATACAAGTTGGATACGATTCTGGACCATCACTCAACGGAATCACGGAATAGAAGGGATTCTGGACCATCACTCAACGGAATCCGAACCAGGATATGATTCTGGGCCATCACTCAATAGAATCGCAAAGTACAATGCATAACAAACCACTCAATAAAATCCAAGGTAGGATACGATTCCGGACCATCACTCAACGAATCATAGAGTATAGGGGATTCTGGACCATCACTCAACGGAATCCAAATAGAGCAGGGAACTGGACCTCTAAACGGAACCCCAACGGATACCCAGTTCCGGATCACTCAACGAAATCAAGTGGAAGGCCAAGAGAAATAACAACGCTTGAAGAAACAATACAAGAACCAAGTACTCAATTTAGAAGGGCTGAACAAAACAAAAAGTGAAATAGGGAAACAAGATGTGAAACAAGTGTTGAAGCAACAAACCCCATGGCAATGGGTTAATGGTCCACTACTAGCCCTCACATTTCATCACATCAAGCCAATCATACAAATCAAACCACACATTCGACAACAAGTTCAATACACAAGTCAAATCACATAAAATAAACAAGCATATCACCATATAATGCCATCATTATGTACATCGAGGTGCACATCAATCGAGGAGACACGTCATCATGATGAGCCCATCAAGCTCCATAAAATCTCAATTGCACTTTAATATTGGCAACACACTAGAAGAACTCATTCTAGTTGACTGAAAAGTCAACCGCCGATCAAGGTCAAGAGTATGGTCCACAACCCTAGAAATCTAAACTGGAAGATCCACCTATTAGATTTCTGATCTGTAGCTTCTCAAAGTTCACATTATACTCATAGAACGACATACTAAATTCTCATTGTGATCCGACGGTCGGATCTTTGCGAATTGCTAGTATTAGGTGGTGGTTAACAATTAATTTTACTAACTTAAAAATCCAATTCGGGAAGATCTGTATGTTAGATTCCTGATCCATCAATTCCAGTTATCCCAAATATTATGTTCTATAACGCATTAAAATTTGGTGACGATCCAATGGTCGGATCATTGATTCATATTTTGATTAAGTAACATATCATAGTGAAATTAGGTTCAAAGGATCAAACCATGTCATATAAATATCAAATACAAAATTAGGACATCAAATTGAACTTAGAAAGGCATTTTTGGCCCACTGGCCACTTGCAGACGCCTTAACTCGTCGGAAAATTCAATTATTTAAAAAAATTACCAAATTTTACAGGCAAGTAGATCTCAGTGAGGGGAGCAATTTTCATACCTGTGACTAGGGCCAATTTGCCTCGGAAAAGCCTCAATGCACTACGGACCCGTCGAAACCCTAGAAAAGGTGAGCTTCGATTTGACTTCTCCGGTGCTCTGCCGCCTCCAAGGTTGTTTGGGCTTTGTACCTGGGTTCAAGGAGAGTCTAATGGTGGTAGAGATCGAGGGGATGTCATTCAAAAATGACAAATCGTCGTCAATGATGCAGTCAGCATTGTGCTTCTTCTTTCACGAAATTGAACTCAAAAGCCCTCAAATTTGAGCTAAGATGGTAGATAGAGGGTTGTGGAATAGGTTTTAGGTGATGGAAGGGTGAATTTCGACTGAAAAATGGTGGAAATTGGTTGGAATCAAACCGGGTCAATGTTGGGTACACGGGTCGGTGGGTGAACCCGTTTCCCCCTTTCCTTGCCTTTTTTCTTTCCCCTCATTTCCTTATTTTTGATTGGTCCTCTCCCTATCCTTTCCGTCATTTCTCTCATTTCTCTTATTTTCTTTCCATCATAGCTGTCCATCTCTCCCATTTATTTTCTTTTCCTTTCATCCCAGCCACACACGTGGCACATTCCTTTGCTCCAGAAAATCTAGAACCTTTTAAATGAGGGCCAAATTATAAAAATGTCCCTAACTTTAAACGTTAATAACTCTTGTTATAACTTTGTTTCATGAACGGTTTGTGCCTACGCATTTGTGAGATCGGGCTATATTCGAAAATATAAATTGTGACTACAAAAAGTTTACGGATTTTAAATAATTAATTTCCAAACTTCACTCTTCGTAACTAGTTTAATTAAAATCGAAATTCAAATAAATTAATATAAATTCTCGAAAAATAATATAAAATCTTAATAATACAAATACGTAGATTATAACAGTGAAATCTAGGAATGAGATTTCACAACATATCTTAGTCTTCTTGCTTAGTGGGGGCATTCAAAGAGGCAAGGGCATGCATATGTCAAAGGCCGGATTTTGCAAAAACTTCAAGGATGGAAGCAATGCACTCTCGCAAGCGGGCAAAGAAGTTCTCATTAAAGCAGTTGCTCAAGCGATCCTAGCATACCATATGAATTTATTTAAGTTTTCGGTGATGGTGTGTAACAAGTTGGATTATCTGATATCTGGCTTTTGGTGGGGGGCAATTGGTGAGGAATGACGCATTCACTAGATGTCTAGGCATATATTGAGTGTTTCAAAGCAGGATAAAGGTATGGGGTTCCGCAACTTTACTGCTTTTAATGATGCTTTACTTGCGAAGCAGTGTTGGCGCTTCATTCATAACCCGAACCCTCTTTGGGCATTGGTCCTTAAAACTTGATATTTTCCAAACTATTATTTCTTTAATGCTCGGCGGGGGAGTAGGGCATCCTGGGCCTGATCTAGTCTTTTGGTGGGTCAAGATTTGTTAATGAAGGAGGCCCACTGGCAAATCATGAATGGGTCTAATGTTAGGTTATGGGTGGATAGGTGGCTTCCTTCCTTCCGTTGGGTCATCTAATGCCTCGTGGGGAGGTATCTGTCACCTGGAATATTAGAGTTGCATCCCTCATCTGTCCTACCTCTCGTTATTGGGACATAAGTTTCCTACACCCATTCTTGTCAGTGGAAGAGGAAAATGCTACACTGTCGATAAATATTGGGGATCCTAGCAGATGTGATAGACTTGTTTGGCCTTCCACTAAGAATG